ATGAATTCTCACTAGTGGTGCACTTTTATTTTAAAAAATACAAGATACTAGTAATCATGATATATATCCCACCGAGCAACACAGAGACGGCAAAAGATTTAGAGTCCTTAGTTCAAAGCAGAATAAATGAAGCACAAGACAATGTATTAATAGTAGTAATGGAAGACTTTAATTATGTAGTCAACCCAGTATTAGACAAGTTATCGCAAATAGATAATAATAGGAAATTAGCAATATATACGTGGTTTAGAGAGAGAGGCTTTCTGGACACTTTCAGGCAGTGTTGTACACGGGACAGCTGGAACAAATCTGGGACAAATTTGGGACAAATTTGAAGTTTTAAAAAAATAGCAATAACTTAAAATTTTATTAAGACAATTTTCTTTTAATTCTTAAGTAAAGTTGTTGAAAATTTAATTTTACATATATCTTATTATTACTCTAATATAACTTTTCAAATTAAAAATTGAGAAATTGATGGGACAAAGTTGGGATGTCCTGGAACGTCCTGGGACAGAACAAGGTCAAAAAGGTCCAGGACAGTCAAAATGTACAACACTGCTTTCAGGTACTATAACCTATATAAAAAGAAGTTTACATGGAGCAATAGCATAGTAGCAACAAGAATAGACCAGATATGAGTATCGAGTAATGCAATAGATATAATGCAAGAGGCAGAAATTTATAATATGTCAACCATAACAGGAAGTGATTACAACCTCACATGCATAAAATTTGAATGGAGCTTGGTTACTTCAGTAAACGATCAGACAAAAAAAGCAATACTCAACACCAAACAAAGAGTTTAGAAACTTGAAAAAGTAACAAAAAAAAACTAGGATGATTACTGTGATAGTCTATGGAAAAATCTAAACAATAAGGTGCTATCTGCACTAAAGCAAAATGCACTAGTCACAGACCAAGAATCTCTCAGCTAGTTAGAAACAAATTTAAATCAAATGTGGTTAATAATAGAAAGAGCAATTCTGAAAGCAAGTCGAAACAATCTGCCAAGTAAAGTGATAAATTTCAGAAAAAAGCCTAATCACAAGAAAAAAAAAACCAGGTTCTTCAAAGTAGCTGTTTTACTAAGTAAGGTAGTTAGAGAAATGAAAACAACGAATGAAGAAGAGCTCTATATAAGATTAGAACAATAGAACAAAAAAATTAGACAAGTCAATAGATGGGCAGATAGCAGTATTGATAAAATCGAAATATCGAAGTTATCAGAATGGCTAGAAGACACAATAACCTGGTGGAAAATAATTGAAGGCAAGCTAGTAGAAAGTAGCGAAAAGGTTAAAAAAAAAGAAATACAACAATATATCCAAAAAAGAGTAGAGCAAATTGTAAAAGAACAAAAGAAAATGTTAACTAGCTTGCTAGAGCGTCCATTTTGTAAAGTAGTTCTAGACAGAGTTTATATATAACGTCAAGAGTCTACAAATCTTGTAACTAACCTAGCAGAGGTTTTAGAAGAAGTCCGGTCTTATTTTCAAAACCAGTTTATAAACAGAAGAGAGGATAGTGCTGAAATAGAAAAGTTATGGTTTGAAGAATACCAACCAAAAGATCACATTGTAGAAACGTGGTACAATCTAGTAACACAACCTATCACACTAGAAGAGTGGCAACTAATGTTAAATGGATGTAAAACAAACTTAGCACCTGGAATATCAACAATTACATATACACTACTAAAGCAGGCGAATACAAAAACACAAAAGGTCTTTAAAAATTTTGCAAAAGTGTGCTTGCGGGTCGGCAATGTTCCAAGTAAATGAAAAACAACGCAGGTGTATCCAATTCCAAAAGGGCAAGATTGGGAATATAATTTAGACAAAATTAGACCAATCGCCTT